ATTGAACGATTGCACAGGAATTATCTTTGCTGACAGAATCGTCATGGCTGTCAGCAAAAGAAATTCCTGTGGAGTCGTTCAATCTCATGCAACAACGGAGCATTAAACAAAGCTATGCATCTCATAGTTTTGTAGATAGTGTCTTAGACAATGAGCTCATCGAGGCTGGGATTACCACTAATCTCATTGAACTTGGGACCATATGCAGGTCAGACGGAGGTCAAAACCAAGCTACTTGTCACTGAACAACGCGCTTAGCGAGATAGTTTTTGATGGTCTTTCGAGTTTCGTGATCAGAGGGACGTCAACAAACATATCATTTGGACTTCTCACAGATCAGAGGTCAATGATATAAAGTAACTCTTATCGGCTGTTTTTGTTAAGACCCGTATGATCTGAAATGAACATCAGTGGCCCTTGCTCAGAACGGGTATATGGGTTCGAGTACGGGCGGTTGCATGAGGAGGTCGGAAGGTACTTCGGATGCCGACCTGGAGTTTTACCTTTTTGGTCCAAAGGTTAACAGGTAACTTGACTTGGTATATCTCGAACTTTGACACAGATGTGTTTGTACACAGGCTTCCTTACTTTGTTAATTTAATGCCTCTGATTTTCTCGTCTTTTATCTCAGGGGCCAACTTGACGTTCTCCCTCAGCAATCGCGCGGCAATCAACCGGCCACCCATACACATGTTCACATGTTGCGCATTTGAGGCAGTGGTGAAGGCCCATGAAAGGCATGCATGTCATATTTGGAAGACAATTCAATTTCATGTAGGCTGGCTCCCCTCAGCACAGCAAAGTAAACAAGGGATCAGCCAACAAAACAAGCTTTGCATAAATGCGTGCGATTGTGCATTATGAAATATCAACATTTTCTGCTGCGGGCGGCGATGCACTTGCCCCTTTAAGTCTGAAAACTTGTCTTAAACCCGAGTCGATAAAACCCGTGGATAATGTAAAAGAACGCAGCCATGTTGTCTAAAACACAACCGCCACAGGATTGTAGATGAAACTCAAATTCGCCGGCATGTTTGCCCCGAAACGTTTAAGGCAAGCGTAAGTGTTGAATGTATACAGACAACGCCAACGTTATTTTTAGTGGTGGCATGCATTTATCCGAGTTCAGCTGCTCATGGCTGCTTTCTGGGTCAGAGGTGATATCTTTGGACAAAAAGCTAGTGATGTAGCAGTTAATATACATTGGCTTTCAGACAAACCCGTTGGTTGCAGCGTGCAAAATGCTCGCAAAAATATACATATTGCCACGAAGCCACAGCAAATGTCGTTGCCGTAACCAGCTTTGGTAGAGCGCTGAGGTTATCATCACCACATTCATGATGTGGCGAAACGCGTGGTGGAGGTTTCACTTTCCGAAACAAGTATTAGTATATGGCTCGCCAAGGAGAGCCATTTGGTCGCTGGTTTGACAGTGTCAGCCAGATTACGGGACGCCAGGACTTGTGCAACTGCATAGGACAGTAAAGGTCCTTTCGTGCTAATTTGGTGGGGCCCAAGGCAGAATGGGTCCGTTAAGTATCATTACAATTCTGGGACGGTGGTTCGGAGCGCATGCAAGATCGTATTTTGAGCACGGCATCCGATTGAAATTCTGTCCCATCAAAATTTTTGCTTTCTGTTAAGCGCATTTTATATCCATTTCATATCTGACTCCATAGCAAAATTTTGGGGTCACGATCACACACCAAAAATAACAGTCTGTTAAGCGATTTTATTTTCTCATAAAAACATGCAGCAAAGAATTTTGGACTTTGAGTGAAACAACTATAGGCTCGTGGCCTTCCATGGTAGCAGACAAAATGACGCTTGGCATAAAAGTCTCCGCGAGACTAGTGAATCAGTGGTGCCAATATCATGTTAAGGGTGCAGAAATAAGCGTCTGGGGTAATGTTTGACTGTGAAAAACACGCCATGTATAAAAGGGTTTTACCCTCATTATCTAAAGTTAACCATCATTTCACGAAAGGGTTTTGAGGCTGCGGAGATCAAGTTAAATCCGTCGCATCTTTCACAGCGATGACACTACACAGAGGCATCAAAGAAGATAATCTTTGTGTGATGGTCATCTTTTGCTCACGCTTGTGTAGTCACAGTCCAGCCAAAAATGCTCAAGCCAACAATTGGCGCCCAAGCCAGCATTGGGGGAGGCAACTCAATCTTGGTGGTGGTGGGGGGGAGGGGGGGAGGGGGGGGGGGCAGTCCTCAATTTATGTCCAAATCACCTGGGAGAAATTAAGTCAACCGGGTTGTTAACTGTTCCCTAGACATCGATAGCTACGACATGGATAGAAGTTTTAAGTAGCATCCAGTAAAGCTACCGTTGCGATATTCCATATAGCATTTTGCTCTGCTTTCACCGACAAACATTGGCGTGAACAACACATTGTGGCAAAGCTGTGTTAATTGGGTGACAAACATTACCTTGGCTTGCTGATACATAATCGCTTACTTGATTGTTTTTTTCTGCCCATCTTCCCAGCTTCCAGTTTTGCTTCCGCGATCTAGCATAGAAATATCGCCGCACGCGTTACGTTGGCTCTGGCGGAGCAAGTCCATGCTTCTGAACTGCTTCCATATGGCGGCTGGCCTTACGCACTAGCAAATGGACCACTCTATTCAGCTGTCCTATGTAGTCCTGTGCATCTACATACCGGACCAAACCGTACTGATACCCGGCGTATGGCAGCAGCCCGTCTCATCCCCGCGCTCTGTGATCAACTCCGGAAGCCTTGCGACTCACCAGTGGTGTGTATGAGCCATTGCTGTAGGTGTGGGAACGAACTGTGCGACCGTTTTCACGTGCTACATTCATGATATAAGCTAAGAAGACCTTAAACTTCTGGTTTTTCGGCATTGTGACTTTCTATGATGAAAGCAATCGGTAAACAGCCGACCTCCCAGTATACCAGAACGCACTGCAGTTGATTACGTTAGTGAGCAATTATTGGGTAGTTATTATTATTATAAAACATAAGACAATAAAACATAACTCAAGAATTTGGGCCGAAGCATTGCCATCTCTTCCAAGACTATCACACTCGTTCTTAGCCAAATGTGTAGTGTTCTGTAAGGAATCATATGGACCTTCCTATCTTCACACGCGCCCGGGTGGCCGGCTGAATACTCTGCTCGGGTGGGGATCAATTTGACCCCCCCTGTGATATCGGAAGCTAAGACAGCTAGAGACACCAAATTTACAGGGTGTGTTGATCTGTGACCCTTGATCCTTAACCCTTGACTCACTTAAGCCAAAGTTTGAAGTTCCTAGGCGATGACCTTCGGGTCAAATATGATCAAACAAGGCCATATTCCAGGCTGGTCTCGTAAGTAGCTTCAGAACTTAGATAATTGTTTCAAAACAAAAGACAACATGCTCATTAAGGTCAGTGACTTTCCTTGACCTTTTGAAGGTCATGATGACCAAATTCATACAAGACTGCTCTGAACTTGGCTTTGAAATTGCTTCCGCTGAAGCCATGGCCTGACTTTGAGCCGCCATAGTACACCTGAATTTTTATGCTAAATGATCCGCTATTTAACTCTACAGCTATGCAAAATTTGGCGAGGCTATGCCGCGTCTTTCGGAAACCATTTTGAAAAAACCTTCGGGGCGGTCAATTTGACCCCCACCCGAGCCCGTGTTACCAGATGGATCATGCCTACATTCCACATGAAGTGTGCGACCGCTGTGATAAATTGCTTTCTTCCTCCACCCCTCGTCGTAACGATGGCTCTCCCACCCATATTCTTCTCCCGCATTTCTATTTCTCCGCTTCCGGACACGCCACGAGAAGCAAATCTTCCTCGCCAATAGTTCACGCATCAAATATTACATATTTTACGTACTTTGTTCAGCGCATTTGCGAGGAACGTTATTCGCAGAGATAAGACGGAAGTAATAGGCTAATTCGTCGAGAAAAAAAAAACAGGAGAATAGGGAAATATCAACCCATCTATTTCTTCATTCTACTGCTTTTTTCCGAAGCATAAGGCTACTACTTCTGTCTTATCTATGTAACATATTTTATCTTCCTCGCACGTCCAGCGCCACGACACACCCATCCATCCTCCGTAAATAGTTGGGAATTTTCAGCTCGACCCGTAAACTCGCCCTTCGTCACAGAGGAGGCTAGACCACCTGGAGGCTTCCAGATTTTAAAAACGTCTCGAGACCTGCGCACAAATATTTGTCAAGACTTCGTTGGTTTGGCTGTAGTGGTCTGCAACCGGTACGGAGCCGATATTAACCAGGCTAAAGGCGACTCTATTTTTGAGCTTTTTAAGTTGGCTTCGCTGTGATGATCCTTGGAACACGCCGCAAAATCTACATCATTCTGTTGGGGTTTCGAAGTGCGTGCCATGGGAAAAGAATGATCGACCCTGGACGTTATTGTTACGTGATGAAAAGTTCCTAATTTCAAGCAGGCTTTCTCTTGCCTCGTGAAAATTCTACTTTTTGTAAAAAAATTACTAAAATTAAAATTGTACTTTTAAACAGGGATAAAGCTGCGAGCATACGCAAGAAGAAGCCATTCTCATCTCTGGCTGTTCTTGGTTTTTATGATCATGCGTTTCAGTGTTGCAAACTTCTGCAATTTTTGTATCTTACTTCAAGTCATTTCGCTTTCGTCATTGTCCTGGTGATATTCTGATGAAACATCCTGAGACTTTTAGCAGCATCTCTGACCAGAAACGCTGAACAACAAACTAATTTTGGGATGGCTACGCGTTCCATAAAAACTGCAAAATAGCAAACGGCCCGTATTATTCCAAGACCTGCACGATTATAGCAATGATCCGACTGTCACGCTGAACGGGCATCATGTAATACATAAGTTGATATTGTTTGCAGGTGTACGTAATGAGCTATCATTAATTAACTTATACGGGGTCTAACGTCCTCATGCAAATATTCTAAAATTTTACCGAACAGGTCTGACACAGGCGCTAACGGCCGTTCGGTGTACACCATCTGGCAGGTGGACACGCTCCGTCTGGCCATCGGCTACATCAGCTTCCTCGGCGAGATGATATCGTCCGACGACGGCCAGCAAGCGTCACACAAGCTCAACGGAGAGCTGCCCAAGAAGATCGTGCTTCAGTCGAAAGGTGAGCCTTGTCTCGGAGACACGCGAAGATGACTGACACCTGCAAGAGCCTCGTCTCGGAGACACGGGGAGATGGCCGACGCCTGCAAGAGCCTCGTCTCGGAGACACGCGGAGATGGCGACGTCCGGAAGCCGGTGTCGCGTAAAGCCCGTTGAAGTCGACTGATTAATATTTTCAAGGTCAATTCCAGTACAGTGCTTATAGCTCAGTTGCCGAGCCAGCGCCGAGCACATGGGAAGCCTTTGAGGCCATATGAACGTTCCTTTCGCTGAGAACATATGCTGATCCAACATGCAGCTGAGCGCCAGCCTTTCGCTCGGCGATGGTCTGCCGACAGTTTGCCGTTTAACTGGCCCGAGAACTGCATCACTAGATGCGTACAATATCCATCCGGGTGAATGGCGCCCCAAGCTTGGCATCGAAACTCGCCCACAAATGGCAAAAACAGCGCACATTTTTAAAATGGGTTTTGATGCCGGCGCTTTTGATTATGATTTGTTGGATTTCATTTGCTGTTATAGCTTCCCATTCCCTTGCGTGCCACTACGCATATTAAGCCATACCGTTTATAAAATTAGTTGTTATGTGATAATTAGATGAATAGATCAAATTGGCTTATGTTTTCTGTATAACAGCAATTTCATGCAAGTGTAAAACTGGCGTATGGAGACTGTCTACCGTCAAAGTGCTTACTTACCAACCCGGGCTTGTTTTCCTTTTCTGCTACCAGTTCGACCATAATTGATCGGGTTGATGCACACTCGACACCTGCACCCGAAGTGAGAATTAGTATTCTCCAGTAATACTTGCATCGCTCTATAGCTATGCATTCTTCTTAAAGGGAGTGTTCCACATTTGCATGGGGTTTTGAACTGAAAGAGTCATTTTAAACATCATTCGCTGTAATTCAAAGCCTTGCCCTTCTTAACCCCCGCCCTGATAGGGGCCAGCTGGACTTCCACGGATGGAGGGCGTATGATACTTCCAACTCCCAAAGTTTTTTTGAGAATATCTCTCCAGAATGTTGTGGGTTCAATCGTTCATGGCTTGCACTGCAGAGTACAACATTTAAAGAGGTCTTACCGCACAGGTAACATGCTTTCTAACCCAGATCATTCGCCCATCCAAGACGAGCTATTTGCGCACGACACCAAGTTGTACATTAAAATCGTTTTGCCTTACGGATCGTAGCAATTTTCTCGAAATTGGGATTTTAGAATCACTTAATTTTCACCAAAAACAAAACCCCCATTGCATATCATAGAATCCGCACATCCTCTGCAAATCATAAGGTAGTCTTTTATACAGACCTAAAACATCTCTCGCTGTGTGGTTTTCGATTTTTCAAGCCTACCTGTTTGCGCACAGAGAGGTCATGCTTTGTTGTAGTAAATGTAACCGTTGCCATGTCTAGCGATGTCGGTAAAGCGTAGTGATATTCATTTTACCCTTGTGCTCTTGTCCCGATGATGGTGCACAATATATCGAAAAGGTGACAGTTACATAAGTGATGCGAATGCTGTCCTTGCCATCAAGGTTTTACTGCTATATATATATATATATATATATATATATATATATATATATATATATATATATGTATATATATATACATATATATACACATATATATATATATGTATATATATATATATCATATATATGTGCGCGTGTGTGTGTGTGTGCGTGCGTGCGTGCGTGCGTGCGTGCGTGCGTGCGTGCGTGTGTGTGTGTGTGTGTGTGTGTGTGTGTGTGTGTGTGTGTGTGTGTGTGTGTGTGTGTGTGTGTGTGTGTGGTGTGTGTGTGTGTGTGTGTGTGTGTGTGTGTGTGTGTGTGCATCTATAAGCTACTCATATATGTCCCTCTTAGCTGAACAGGAATTACAGCCCTGTTTTCATACGTTCCTTGCGCTTTTTCGCGAAAGATGTTGTTGGGCATCATGATCATTTTGTTTAGCGTCGATCGCCGAAACTGGGTTTCGACATAAGGCCGATGCATTAAGACGGGACGCAGACTGCAACGCAGCACTCGCATTAAGCATATTAGAGGCGGTTAATGCTGTTTTGGTGGGCATTTTCGGACGATACCGCCATCCATTTAGTCGGCTGCCACCAATCGTCAGCATTCCGTAGGTGTTCCATGGAATATTCACGTCGAACTGTAGTTTTGTGCACTTCAAGAGTAATTTCGAGCTAGGTGACTATGAGCTTGGTCAGTTTTTTTAGTTGATATTTGACCGACTTGTTTTCACGTTCCGGTGACACGTCGTGACAAAATAACGCAACTTGCTGCAGGCTGTAGAATTTGAAACATCGATGGAGAATGTCAAAACACTCAGACAACACAAAGATAGACTTAAGCCCAAACCTACATTAAACGTGTAATTAAAAACATGCAGGATGTAGGAAAATAAAAAAATTCCCAGCAATCACGGTACCAGCACGGACCTTTAAAAGTGCGGCTAGCTCAGCCAGTTGTACTCAGCTGAACATCGCAGTTTTTGTTCTCGTTGTTCCTTTAAGCTGTGAAGCAATTAGTGGAAAAAATTGTTAAATTTCATGTAGTTTTGAGCTTCAATTCTTATTGTCCTTATTATTCTCAATCTACAGAAGGTTGGGGAGGCTGAACTCATCGTTTTTTGGGGGGGGGATTGGACATTGGGGAAGGGGCAGTGGCCCAACCAAAATGATACAAATCGACGCCCGATGGCATGATATTCTAAAGCTGGCAATGTGTGATTTTCGGGAAAAATTAAACTTTGACCCAACAGCACTAAGACTAGTACCATTCGGGAGATCTATTTGCAATCAGTTTGCTGATGTTCTTGCTGAGCTTTATCTTCATCGGTTTGGAAACGCAAGGAGAAACGTTGCATGAACCCCCGTCAGTCCGCGTTATAAAAAAAACGGCGGGTAGTGACGCGAGTAGAAGGGAAGTTTCCACATTTGTGTGAAGCTTTCAGCCGAAACAGCCATTGTGAAGATCACGCGGTGCGGCACGCAATCCTGCCCTTCCTGATACCTAATAACCCCCTGATTTCTGAGCTACACGCCCACGAAGGTGGGCAGACTATCTCAGTGCCATACCTCCATGCTTGGCGCCATAGCTACGTCACTTAGATTCCGCCACATACCGGCCCATGTTAGCCTCATTGCCCCTATCAATGCCACCCCCACCCGGACTCCCCAACCGCGAGCGTTGTTACTTATTACGGAGACAAGACTCGTAATCCAAAAGCGTCAGAAAAGCGGCACAACCGAGTATGTGAATGCAGCTTTACTTCTGAAACTCACGGAAGAAAATGCCACGAACATCACGAGAAAGTGCCAAAACACGAGCGCACAACGATATTTGATTAAGCAGCACATCCAGCACCACTACAGCCATCTCTCGACGAGCTGAGGTGCTACATGTGAGTGTTAGTGCGGCGGTCATGCACGGCTATTTTGTACAACACTTCAGCGCCACATAAACCTTTCACGGCACATTCGAACAATGACGTGCTGAGGAGCATATTTACTCAAAAGAGAAACTTTGCTGTCTAAAGTGGTGTTTTCCTCTTAAAAATATACGAATAGTTTTAAAGTAATTTATCATATCCGATGTTTGCCTCAATATCTTCAAACGTGGAATATCCCTTTGAGACAAAAAAACCATCTTGTTTCCGATCTGAAAGCCCGCGTTGATGTACGGACCATTTCGTGCAGACCATATCAAGGTCATTCAATCATGCACAACGCCATAAGACCATCACTTAAACCCGACCACCCCATCGGCCACGTGACGTTCAAAGCCAAGAAGGATATAATCTTCGAGCCGCCCACATTTGGCGTTTGTGCCCACAATTTACAGATGAGATAAACGCTAACTGACTCTCAATCAATGTTAAGCAGGCTGTGCAAGTTTGAATCACAAATCACTTTTGTGCTACATGCTATAAGAAGTTAAATATGGGTGCTGGCTATTACAGAAATAAGACTTGTAATCAAATAACTTAAATTAGCACTATCATATGCAAAACCAATGTGAGGAAGGGCCAAAACCCGGGCACATCACAATATTTGGTTAAACAAACACCTCCAGCAGCGCCACGGCTACCTCTGGAAATATTTAAATGCTACAAGTGAGTACTAGGGTGGCAATTTCACACGGCTAGCTTGGCAGCATCGCAACGACACACAAACTGAAAAAATTGTGGCGTCTTAGGCAGTTTTGCACTTAAAAGTATGCTTATAGTTATAAGTCGGCTTATTTCATCATACCTGATGCTTGTTGAAGTATATTCAGACATATATATATATATATATATATATATATATATATATATATATATATATAGGCTATATATTGAAACATTCCCTTTAATTCCATGAAACAACAGTTTTGACCACTGGCATAACACATTCTGCAGCTGTGCATCCCGTGCACCTGCACAAGGCGAATGAATGCGAACCAATCATGTCCGAGGGCCGACCCAGGGTCCTATGAAGCCTAGGTCAATTAACTTTTTGGGAACCTGCAGAGGGTGTGACACCCACAACAAATTTTGTTAGCTTGTCACATTGAAGTCGCAAGGCCTAACACGCTAGAGCACGGCAAACAATTTAGGCAAATGGTTTGTTGCGCAATGTTGTGTTTAATGCAACTAATCTAAGACATTCATATGCGATTAAATGCGAATGGGGCTCGGGGTTAGTGCAGAAAGACTCGCCAAGTATATGAGGAACCTCATATGAACGCTGCTCCGAAATAACGACATCGGCGCTTCCTGGGTTCCCGAGGGGTTCGTGTCTCCTGATCATACTCTAAAGGCTTCTGCCGTTTCAAGAACCCCTTATGCTCTCGGTGGCTCAATATCTTATAGCGTCTCCTGACACTTGTGAGTGTCCTGATACTTATAGCGTCTCCTGACACTTGTGAGTGTCCTGATACTTATAGCGTCTCCTGACACTTGTGAGTGTCCTGATACTTCCGGGATGCTGATACCTTTCGTGGCTCCCTGACATTTGTGTGGGCGTTCGTATTCGTGGGGCCCTGGAATAGCCCTGGAAGATAAATTAGTGGAGCCTTAAATTTTTTTGACATCTAACTCCAATGCAAATAGGACGTTCATAACAGTGAAATGCTCTCTATGAAATCAGCAGCGTAAAGGAGCTACAGTGAACCAAAAGCTCTTTGTTCCGACCAGGCGCTCAATTTTATATCTAGTGTATGCACGTTTGACTCATATATGTCCACCAGTCGCACCTTAATCAGACGTAAAAATGTTCGCGTAAACGAGCCGTGACTCCATCAGTCATAGACATTGCAACGTCAGTGCAGTAACTAAATATCACATACATTGTGGTTCCACTGCGCGTCTGGGAAACCAGAGGTACGGGGTTCGACTCCCCGCGGTGCCCGCCATTCCTGCCAGGGTGAGAGGCAGGCGACGCCATATGGCCTCAGCAGCTGAGTGGGTCGTAAAGCCCCAATGACAGACAGACAGACAGACATGCATTGTGACGCCAGTGCAGTAACTAAATATTACATGCATTTTCAGGTCAGTGCAGTAACTAAATATCACATACATTGTGACGCCAGTGCAGTAACTAAATACCCTCTCAGACTGAGTGTACCCTTTCCCGAACTTCTTTCGGGTCCTGCAGCTCGATCTACCGTAGCCACTCACGTTCCGCCCCTCCCCCCCCCCCCCCCCGTCCCCGGGCGGAGCCCCTGTCGTGGCCCGGGCAGGCGTCCCCCACCCCCGCCCGTCAGGACCGGCGGCCCAGGCGTAGCCAATTTGGACGGTCGCGCCGCTCCTGAATACTTGATGGTGCCGGCATTGTGCGCCGACGGTCGCCGGCCGTTAAAGCCTCGTTAATATCTCACGCCGGCCCGCTGACGGGCGGAGCGGCGGCGTGGCGGACGGCACGCCGGAGCAGGGCTCACCTGGTGTCGCTCAGACCTCACCTGGTGTCGCTCCGGTCCGCTCGGAGGCTGGCGGTGCCGGGCAGAGGCCTCCCGCGGAGAACTCCAGGCCCAGCGGACGCTGTCAGGGGGGGGGGGGGGCGCGGGAGACGGAGCTGAGCCGTTCGGGCAGCCCCAGCGCCTGACCGGAGTCTGGCGAGGGCACTCGCTTACAACGGCTGTCCCCGGGTGAGCGTGGACAGCTCCCCGTCGGCCTCCCAGAGGGCACTCGCTTACAACGGCTGTCCCCGGGTGAGCGTGGACAGCTCCCCGTCGGCCTCCCAGAGGGCACTCGCTTACAACGGCTGTCCCCGGGTGAGCGCGGACAGCTCCCCGTCGGCCCCCCAGTGGTCGGCAGCTGCCAGCCGACTTCGAGCGTCACCCATGACCATGGCCTTGGACAAACGCTACTATCAACTATTGTTAACCCATCGATGATCACGGCACGTGATGGCGTAGTTATTACCGCCTCATGGCATCTCACAACTCCGAACGAGACCCAAAAGCTTAAAAGTAGAAAAATGCGCACACGTTTGAATGTGGTTAGTCATTTCGGGCGTGAAAACATCCGTGTCTGACACGAACTCCTGGAACGCCAGCCTCCATCGGCAGATGGAGGCTGGCGTTCCATCGGCAGATAAGAGTGGTGTCAGTGCTCTCCGGCCGTGCTTCAGTCTGCTGAACGGTAAAGATCAGGTTTTCAGACGCATCCTGTGTCTGTCTACTACATCACAAGCGTGTCAAATATCACAAGCCCGTCGTAAAGTGACATCCGCTTGTGATGTTGGCACCCTGCTTCCTTGGTGAGGGTAGGAGAGAAATCTCTTATCAGCTGCATAAACTAACAGCCGCTGTCAGGGGCAGCGCCGCTGGATGTTCACAAGGGAATGAAGCTGATCTAGGGGCATTCGAAGCGGATTCGGTGATCCATTCCATCCCCCTCTACAAAAGTCCCTAAGATCTTGCCCGCTTTTGTCGAAAAATATATTTTAGTGATGTATGTGTGGGTGCATGTATATATATATATATATATATATATATATATATGCGTGCGTGCGCGCGTGCGTGCGCACGAGCGTGTGTGTGTGTGCGTGTGTGTGTGTGTGCGTGTGTGTGTGTGTGTGTGTGTGTGTGTGTGTGTGTGTGTGTGTGTGTGTGTGTGTGTGTGTGTGTGTGTGTGTGTGTGTGTGTGTGTGTGTGTGTGTGTGTGTGTGTGTGTGTGTGTGTGTGTGTGTGTGTGTGTGTGTGTGTGTGTGTGTGTGTGTGTGTGTGTGTGGTGTGTGTGTGTGTGTGTGTGTGTGTGTGTGTGTGTGTGTGTGTGTGTGTGTGTGTGTGTGTGTGTGAATAAATCTCCCCTTGCCCTGGCGGTGGCTCAGGTCTTCATCGCTGTGACCTCTTGGGCTGGCGGGCCTACTGTCTGCCTTTCTAACGGGTCTTCCCACGCATCTGTTAGGTTTCCCCTTGAACTGCCTGGGGACTCCTGTCGACTAATAGGAGTTGACGTTGGCTATCTGGGGCCTCCTATGAGACATATATTGTCAGTCGTATGCTTTAAGCGTTTCTTTTGATTTGATGAAATGCTCCGTCTTGGTCGTCTCGGGCCGGTACTATGAGGCCTCCGGGAATTTCAAGGGAGACAAAAAATTGCTTGCTCCTCCATAGCAAAGGTAAATGATCTCTGTGCCTAAATACTCTCCTTGATGTCGGCGCTACTGACTAAACTGCGGAAACCCTTCCCATGCGCTTTCCGCACACGAACAAGACGTATGCGTGCATGGTGCAAAACTGCAATCCGATTGTTTTCCCTCGGTGTCTGATTTCGAGTTATAATCCGGAGCATCGCACCCCTCTCCCCGACGTAATTCAACGATCATGCCTCCCATAAGGACGATGGACTAGGTATGATCAAAAACACCACCGAATACCGTTCGGTTGGCCGGCCGTGTGGTGTTGGTGCTGGGACAATGCTGCCAACACCCTCCCCTGTTGTCAGACAGAGGTCGGCTACGCGTGATGATCGTTCCGCAACAGTGGTGCTGACACTCTTCCTGTTGCCAGATGGTGCTGACACTCCCTCCTGTTGTCAGATGATGCTGACATCCCACCCTGTTGTCAGATGGTGCTGACACCCACTCTTTTTGTCAGATGGCGGCCAGCTGCGCGGCCACTCGCTCTCCTGGTCGCACGAGCGTCCACTGGCTACCAGCAACAGCCAGATCAGCACCAAGCTCTGGCACCCGGAGGACCCGCGCGAGAAGCCCGTCGAGGAGTTTCCGTTCGGCTCGTGATGTGGCGCTGTGTCGTGCGCGGCCGCCGTGACGCCCGCTCTGCTGCGTTTTGTCGCGCGCGGCAGCGCGGCACCGGCCGGGCGGAGGCGGACACCGCCACCGTGTCTGACCTCTTCGTGATGCCGCACGGCCAAAATGGCGCAGAGGCAGGCCGATGTGGACATATAGAGCGCACGCAGAAACACGCTCCCAAGAGGCCAGCACGCTCGCAGCCATTGCCGCCGACGTCATCTGCAGGGAAGGGTCACTGTCGCGTGCGCCCCTCGCCAATTATTTGGTGAGGAACAGCCGAAGGATGCGGGCCATTCACGTGTAATAAGTTCTGAGTCCCCGCTCGCAGGCACGGCCCAACGTGACGACTCTGTGACGCGGCGCGTCCCTCCTGCTGCGCTCCGAGCTGCCGGCCCACAACCAGCGCGCATTGGGCGGTGTCTGCTGACCCGAACCCAGCACTCCGACAGCGGTCTGTGCCCTGCGAGCTCGCCGAGCCCGCCTGCCAGTGCCCATCTCCTGCGCGGAGGGCTCCGAGCGCGCGGCCCGGTCTCAGGATCGGGCGCTTGGAGTTCGGCGTTTTGTGCACTGAACCTTTGGGTCGCGTCCCGGCTCCGAGCGCGCGGCGCTTCATACCAGGGGAAGGGTGCCTGCCGTTACTATTGCCGGCTGACAGAGCTATGTCCGTGTGAAGCTGACCACGAGTCGTTCGTTTGTTGCGATCACCTGAGAGGTTGTCATAGAGCTTGCGAAGCGTGAGCGTCATTTAAATGAACGGACGGTGGTGAGATGACTGTGGGTTGCAGCAACGGTTAAGAAAATCATGCAGCCAGCCCAATTGGAGTCAATTTTTTCTAGTCATCGTGCAATGTGGTCACGTTTTTAAGGCTGCCTAATGCGTTGTATAATCATATTTGACTCAGATGTTCACCTTCCTTATAAAAGTGTTATTTTGATAACATGTGATTAATTAATACGCTTACGTCGCATTCCACACGCGCCGTCTTTGGGGGAAATGCGGATGTCAGCTGGACCATCGTTTGAGTTCCTTATGCAAATATATGCGGTAAATATATGCATAAAGCTTTGCAAAACGTGGGTTTGGTATGCGGTTGCGAGATTGTGGTCGTGTGTGATGGGTGAGCCCAGCCTGTGCGTGTTCCTGGCACGGCCACTGCTCTGAGTCACAGTCGAAAGCGACGACAGACAACACTCAGAGAGATGTGACAAAAGGAGATAGCCTCCACTCGAGGGATATTCCGGCCTATGAGAGTGAGCCGTCAACAATGACAGGTACGCCGGAGGCTCAAAAGCAAACAGGCCAGTTTGAAGACGCCAGCTTATCTAGATAAGGCCACAAAACGGACCATGCAAATAGAGATGACTATCGATGGCGTAACTCAAACAACAGGCAGGTGACAGGCAGCCGTGTTGTTTTTAAATACGCCGAGCCGGCTATCGGCCCTATGTTTGACTGCTGGCATGGCGATTCATCAAGTCTTGGCAGCGCTCCAGCTTTGACTGTCCGGTAAGGTGGCGTGTGATTAGGTGCGTCTCCAGCGGCCGGTGGCCAGCAGCCGCCTCTCATGACATGTAGGCGATGGGAAGTTGCGTGTGATTACGTGCGTCTCCAGCAGCCGGTGGCCAGCAGCCGCCTCTCATGACATGTAGGCGATGGGAAGTTGCGTGTGATTAGGTGCGTCTCCAGCAGCCGGTGGCCAGCAGCCGCCTCTCATGACATGTAGGCGATGGGAAGTTGCGTGTGATTAGGTGCGTCTCCAGCAGCCGGTGGCCAGCAGCCGCCTCTCATGACATGTAGGCGATGGGAAGTTGTTGAGCGGATGCCGGAGTATGGTGGCGCCCTGGCAACGCTTGTATCCCTGGCGCTGGCCTGTGCTATCTGTCGCTGTCAGGTAACATGCCGGAGAGATGCTGGCGTCACACCAGTTTAAGTGTCGCGGTGACACCCTCAGAGTCGCACGGATGCTTCTAGGAGGAGCTTAGGAGTGCCCTGTTCCTGACCTCACGAAGTCAGATGCCGATCAGTGGAAGCCACCCTCTTGCGAATCATGATACTGTGCACACACACCTGGGGTCCTTGGTCTGCGTGAACACAACTCCGTGGAAGAATATTTGCTCTTACCGCGGACGAGTAGATGTAATACACCACCAAATTCTGGACATATATGGCTAAGTGTGAGTCCTATGGTCATGGACTTACAAGGAACAATGTAATACCGTTTCAGTATTTGGCTGAGGGCCTGGATGTAATCGCAGGCCAATGTTATGACCGAAAGCGGACCCAGCAGAGAACGATACCTTTTGCCATATGAACAGGTCATTCGTATGGCTCCAGGCCGCTGCATAATATAATGATCTGATTATTAATGACCTACAGCAAGAAGACACCATCTTTTTCAGCAGTGAGATCCTGCAATGAACTAGAGAAGGCCGCAATAATGTACTGATATTGCATGATCGGTAGCCAAGACGCAAAGAGAGATGGATGACACCACCAAGAGGAGGCCTCCGTTTTGAACCATACAGCTGTAGATATCCAAGGTTTGGGTACCTGAGGACCGCGATACGACAGAAGGCCCGTATCATGACAAATAAGCTTACAACGCAGTAAACAAAAGGTTCTCCGGCTTCGAGGAGCTCCGTTTCACGGCTTGGAGTAGGTCCCTGTTGCGATGGAGAGGTCACGGCATTTGAGTGATCTCAGCTGCAGGCATATTGGATGGTTTTGTAACACTAAATCAGTGCCGGCATGTACTTGTCCGAAATTAGCATTCAAATAACATCAAATGTAAGTCCCAAATAGCATCCCACTTTTCGTACTTCTCACTTATTGTTGCATCAGACGCATACAATTTGGGTAAAAACACCAGCTTTTTCGAAATCATTCTGAACAGCTCAGAATTTGGAACTGAAGTAGCCGACGCTGGGCGGGAAATCTCATCTGACTTCCAGCTCACCATCACAAAATAATGCATTTCATTTGCCGTGTTTTTTCAACGTGTGTCTCTGAAATGTTTGAAATACGCTAATGTTCCAAAATGCTTGTGTGATGAATTCTAGGAACCCTTGAAGCACTGCTTAGACAAAAAGATATGCGAACATGAAGCTTTTATCCCACAAATTCAACGAAATGATACAATATGGCTTTGATTTCTCCCTAGAAATGGCTTTGATTTCTTCCTATGCGTTTTACCACAGTGACTCTTTTTGAGGCGCATTTTGGCTTTGGGAATGGGAGTATCATATGATCCATGCCACGCACTGGCTCAAATTTCAACCCGTGCGTTTCTCGGTAACGCCTTTGCCCGCTGGGCTAAACAGACTCTTTTATTCGATGGTTGTCATGCCGACCGTGGTCCCGACTGCAGGGAAGAAGGCAGTGCCGTTACAAAGCGTTGTCATGCCGACCGTGGTCCCGACTGCAGGGAAGAAGTCAGTGCCGTTACAAAGCGTTGTCATGCCGACCGTGGTCCCGACTGCAGGGAAGAAGGCAGTGCCGTTACAAAGCGTTGTCATGCCGACCGTGGTCCCGACTGCAGGGAAGAAGGCAGTGCCGTTACAAAGCGTTGTCATGCCGACCGTGGTCCCGACTGCAGGGAAGAAGGCAGTGCCGTTACAAAGCGTTGTCATGCCGACCGTGGTCCCGACTGCAGGGAAGAAGGCAGTGCCGTTACAAAGCGTTGACAGCGTAATGTGGACTAAAAATACTTATAATTAATAGCTTTGTTATGTGTTGACGTTGCTGCAGTGACACTTCTCAATGCTATTATTGGACTAACTGGTGGTCCTGAGGCATAGGCGTAGGAACGTCTCAAAAAGTGGGGGGGGGGGGGGGGCAAGCTCAGGGCGTATTTCAGGAACTTTTCTGGAAAGCAAGCCCCATGACTGGAGGGGGGGGGGGGGGAGAGATGGTGGTTGTTATTGCTCTTTATTCAAATGTCATGTCTGCTATGGTAGATATGCATCTGAAGCTGTTTCTCATTGGCGCGCTATCTTGCCCTTTCACCTCATCTATGCCATTCGGCAAATAAGGCTGTCCAGCTTCCCGAAATTATTCGTCCACTTCAACATAGTCTTTCCTGGCGATGCAAAATTCCACGAGAGGGAAGGCATTTTGGGTCACTGAGGAGGCATCCGCCTTCACAGAGAAGATGCCAAAATAAGGCCTGGACATAGGCTGGTGAAAATTTTGAATGCGAATCGATGGCTAACAGTGCGACGGATTTTTCATGCGCCTTCCTTTTGCTAGCTGATTTTCAAGGGATAAGGCTTGTCGCAGCATTTTAGGCGGAAACAGATTCGGAAGCTTAAAACTGCCAAAAGCAATATGACAAAAGCCATGAAACTGGAGATTCTCCTAAGACAACCTAGCCACAGAATGAGGGCCCTTCTGTCATATACTCCTGATCTGAGCCCTGCTGCCGTCCGCCATCGACGGCCACTGCCCAGGCCAGGCTGTCTCCCGCATGACTAATTGCAAACTGATCGTATGGCCGCTTTGCAGCATATTTCTGAATCAACATTGCTACTTATTGGTGTGTAAAACATGTTGGACACCTGCGAGAGCATCTTTTTTTCGAACTGTCCTCCCTTACACCACACCACCCCAGAAAAAAGCCTCCGGGAAGCTGCCTGCCTCACGCATGAATTGGCCCAACGGACATTTAATTGCGTATCATTTAACGTAAACGACTTGATCCGTTTTTGTGTGCAGGCAAGGTCGTAGCCAGAGCCCTGCTAATTGGGAGCACAGAGTTGGCAAACGCCCCTCATATGGTGATCCTCCCCCAAAAAAGATCCCCGGATATAGCTTACTTGCTAACATGGGATACGGTTTTCTTCGTTTCATTATTATTTACACCTTGCAACCAGAACAGAAACCAGAAGCTACCATGTGATCAATTCTGTTTGTATTTTGAAGTCAATAAGCTGCAAAAAGCAGGCGTTGAACGACCGATCGAATAGATAAGACAGTAGTATTAGCCCTATTCCTAAAAAAAAAAACAGGAAAATGGAGATATAGTTGGGTGGATATTTCGGCAACATGCCTTCATCTAAGCAATAGTAGAAGTGAGCTCAAAATTGTCTGCCGATAATCCTACTCCATTCTCAGTTGTTTTTTTGAACAAGCAAGCCACAGTTTTGACGGCACACCAACATTCAGGGGATCAATCAAAGAGCAATTGCCAGCCATGAGCGCATTACTCAGCTATTCCGCCTCGTTTTCATAGCACAACGTCTAGAGTTTTAGTGAGTGCACTGTACAGAGGTGCTGCGCTTGCCATGTCCTACAGTTGACCACGCGCGCAGAGTCTAGTAGTGCGCAATACAGACCCGTGAACGGAGAGACTCACGTTACCTAAACCGTCGCTGTGGTTACTTTTCAAACTGTGATACTAAAATACATGCTATCCCCCGCGCAGCACAGCCAGAGCCGATCCATGACGCATTTAAGACTGCCGTCAGTTCACCAGGGGGTGTCAACTTTTGTAAATTACTGGGGGGGGGGGGGGGGCAAACCAAAGGCCCGACAACCTACCCCCAATTTTTCATCGGATTTAGCTTCCTTTATTTTGATTAAACGCACTGTACATTTTAAATATTTGTGCAACTTACAAAGGTCTTAAATGTAAGCAGTATAGAAGTCACGCAGGGTTGGGTTCAGGGAGCAGGCACTGGACGCACGCGTCTCTTCTGAAAGGCACGTAAAGGTGCCCCTTTAGAGGCTACCTTAGGGCGCCAATGGCGCCCATCTATGGCAGTCATGGTAGGTGGCACACATTTTGATTGTTGGGGATGGGGATGGGGTTAACTATGGCAAACTTAGGTCATCCTCACATTCCAGAGCCTTTCACTTTAACCCCACAAACCATTGCGTGTCTTATGGCGGTGGGTATGTGAAGTTTATTGGATCGTTCATCCGCTCAGCTGTTATGATTTGATTCTTGTCAGAGCAGCCACGACTTTTTATAAGTGGTACGAAGCGCCACCACGCAGAAAGATCAAAGCAGCTTTGTGTTATGATTATCTTTTCTCTACGTT